ACAGTGACAAGACCCACACAGGACACTTACAACATTTCCATAATTATCAACATTCCGCGATTCCTTCATCATTCTACTTAAACTATTCCTAATCCTCTCGTGGTTTGTGGTGTGAACCCCTCATTCGCCTCTGTGCAGTAACAAAAAACCACCGAAGTACTGTTGTGTGCATCCGTGCATTAATTCATAACCATTGTCATTTTGTATACAAGGAAAACAAGTGGGTGCTTGCATGAAGTGGGCTTTTACAAATGACAGATTCTCATTGGCTAGTCTTTGTTCGGTTCAATGCCAATGAGATGTTGCAATGTTGTGGGATCAAATTGAATAACATAGGGCATGGTGAAAATAACGGACTGCGAATTACGGAGTGCGTAGTCTGTCAGAAAGTGGTGATTTACACAGTACAACTTAAGTTGTGAGCAGGTTGCATACGACAGTTTTCGGCAAAAGTAGTGTAGTGCGTGTAAGTCTTTTGAGTCACTGTTGATGTATTATTTGTTTGATATACAAGTTTTTTGAGTCCATTTGTTTTTGCAGTGCATGGTCAAACGAGGATGACAGTTGATGAGAGTTGGCAGTTTCGTGAATTGTTACAAGGGACTTCAACTGCATTAAATAATTTTTGTATTAGCATATCTTGTCTTCTTTTTAAAGCAAAATAAAGAAACTTTCGGGTACACTTAAGAGCGAACCAATCGTGCGCAAACTAATTGTTCTTTGAGCAATTTTTGCATATTCAGATAATGATTGAACAGTGGAATGCTTTGATATGCATATTTTAATTCCTCCAGTCTCAGCCAGATGTAATTGTTCAACATTTATCCCGCCGCAAAACCTTAACGCTTCATCTGGATGCGCAGTGGAGACTGCGAAGTAGCTTAATATTGATCATGCCATTAGTGGACGTTGACGTGGCTTTTACAAATGACAGATTCTGATTGGCTACTTTGCTGTAATGAATATTTAATGTTAGTTGAACAACATTCCATCCATACAGAATATTTGTCTTCGCCCCTCACCTCACATCACACCACTCAGCTGCTGATATCGGTCTTGTTTAGACGTTGTGAAAAGAGTTGCACTGACTGCTACTGCAGGTAAGTAAACACTGCATACGTGTTATAACTGTTCTTACATTGATTTTTTATTCCGTTATGTTTGGAGACGTTGCCCTCTGACTCTCTGTCTATTACTCTATTTTGCATATATAAATAGTTTCCGTGCAGAGAATCATAGACAGCTATATGACTATTAGTTATGATTTGTGTTAGGAAAATACAAAATGCACTCATCAATCAGAACAAGTGTTACAGGTGGTTCAATACACTGATTGGCTGTAAATTTGGCGTAACACAAAAATGGTGTTATCATTTAACAAGCTTTCGTTGGTAGGAACCTACCTCAGAAGTATAAGGACGAAGCCGAAGGGGCGAAGGGCCTTCGCTCGAAACGTCGAAATTCTCCTTATATTTTTCAGGTAGTTGCAAAGCTACAAACGAAAGTTTGTTCAAAGTATTGGCACTACCTAAACTGCCACCGCAGATGATATCATTTACAAGATGTTATCATTTACGCTAAATCAGTGTCTACAGTATACAAAGCTGCAATGAATACACCATTTTGGTGTTGTAGCGAGTCTGCGACACCCAGAAATTCTGAGTGTTCGACTCTAATCAGAACGTCGCCCTTTATTGCAGCGACTGTGTGGCAAAGCCGGTGAGACGTCGAATTTTTCCTGTGCACTCTCCAGTCGACATATGCAAAATTCGACATTCAAAGCAGCCCATATACAACACTTAATATCAGTTGCAAGTTAAGGCAATTTTGTTGCTTGCATTTTATTATACTGTCCGACTGTTCAGTGTGCATTCATGGAATTCTACAAAGCAAGTATTTTTGAATCTCAAATTACGACTCATGCAAACAAAACGAAAAAAAAACACACGCAGTTTGTCGCCCATTGTGTCTAAGTGCCTTGAACGGAAATCTGAAATTGATTATGCACCGAAGTTCTCGTGTATCAGTGCATGATTACGATTTTCAGTCAACTGAGTCAAGGATCTGCTCATTTGCTCGAATTACTTCACAGGTTTGACTTGTCGCAACGGTTGCGACAAAGGAAACGAATGCCTACCAAATTAACTCGACTAACATATGTACAGGGTGTATAAAAAAAAACGCAACCTCGGAATTCCCCAAGAAATCGACATTGTTTTAAAGACAAAAGATTTTAGGCGCCTGGGAATTTAAAATAGCATAACTGTCAAAATTACTGCACACACGAGTGAATAAAGCAAAATTTATGCAAAATTTATGCAAAATTTATGCACAACAACAGTAATATGATCTATTAGCAATTCGATTTCAATTCCCAGGAGCCTAAAATCTTTTATGCTTAAGAATTGCAAAGTATTTCTTAGGAAATTCCGAGGTTGCGTTTTTTTTATACACCCTGTAGTTTACTAAATCCTCAGATCAGTTTCAAATCAATTTAAATATCTTGCAAAAACATGTTTCAAGAGAATAATAATGAATTCTAAATTAAGAACCTTAAGCATAATTCAAGATCAGCAAACTTAATCTTTTTAATATTTTAAAACATTTTTATTGTAACAAAACATTGAGTTTACTGATCTTGAATTTTGCATAATTGATTCTCCTAGTTAGTTTTTTCAATTAACTCATTCACATCAAAGTAAACTCGTATCGTGTTACGCAAGTCAGCATCAGGCTGTAGTGTCTGTTTAGTATTCTATATTAATTAAAAGCGCTGAAATGCGCCTTAAAAACCACCAATCAAACGGCTGAACTGTGCCTGTACTCAATTCAGTAGAATAAATAATATTGTTAAGGAAAGCCTCACATATCGATTTCGTCCATGAGAAACGTCATATGTTCGTTTCTCTGAAGACCCCCCCCCCCACCCCCCTTAGAAACGTCACACATAGTTATCGATATTTTGTTCAATATAGGACACATAAGGTAATTTTCTACGGTCGGCTATTGGCGGCGCTTCCGCGAGGAATATGTCATCTTCTGCTGACATATTTTTTTTTATTAATATATATTAACATATATGAACTTCAAAATTTCCAACGTTTCTCAAAACAACTTTTTTTTGCATGAAATATTGATAATTTTAGCCCGGTTTTCTTGAAATTTAAGTGTTTTCAATGCAAGGAAGGCGTAATAATATAAATGTAATAAGTATACGTGTAGAACAGGTATGGTATTACGAATGTAGGCCTATAAGACTGGTGTTTGTATCAAGTTGTTTTCTTTTTTATACTCTGCAAAGATGATTTCGAAATGTTAAGGCTTTCGAAAAACTATCGAATTTTGTCCATGATATTTACAGAGAAACGTCACAGCTGCAACCCCCCCACCCCCAAACGAACATATGACGTTTCTCGTGGAAAAATCGATATGTGAGGCTTCCCTTAAAACATGACCTTACCGGGTGGGCAGTTGAGTATAGGGTTGGACAGTTGTGCCACTTAGCGGTACAACGTATCCTCGTATTTTTATGCGAAAATATGCAGTTTGCTGGCTAGGACGAGCCAGTTCAGCGTGTTTATTGGCCAGAACATGCAGTTTACTGGCTGAGCAACATGTGTAATGCGATATGCGCGAGGACAGAAACTTCAAAGAATCCGACGTAAGTGGCCCTACCGTCTTTCCCTATACTGTGACTGACCTTACTTCTGATGTGCATGATTTGAAGATTTGTAAAAGCTCGGGCGAGTTGGCAGGTCTTGGGGACTAGAACTAAAACACTAAACAGATTGAAAGGTCGAACATTCAATACTTTTCCAAATCCAAATGCAAATGCCTTTGTGTTTGCGCTTCATAAATTATGCAAACCAAATACAAGCTTGACGACTTTGGACTATGAGATTCGTTTTTGCTTTAGTGATCAGTATATATCATTGTCTATGATTCAGTTCGTATCTTCTGGGTGGAATTACGTTTCACGTGAAGAAAATTAACTGCTTAGCTTTTCACTTTGCATTTTGGTTATAGTGGTATTGATAAAGATAGCGGCCTCGAATGAAAATATTGAATGTTTCACGAATATTTCGCTGTTGGCTATCGCGCACCTGACCCTAGCTTTTTTTAAAAGTTCTTGCACGGGTCAGGACAAAAAATAAGCCATCTTGAATATCAGTGATGCCACTATAACCACAATGCAAAGCGCTACGAAAACGTAATAAGGGGAATCTAGTATTGAATTCCCTATTAATTAACAGGTATTCTGCGAACTCGAGTCGTATATTTAACAGTTATTCTACGAACTCGAGTCGAATATGAGCTGATAGCCGATGAGGCGCGTAGCGCCGAATCGGCTATCGCTCATATTCGACGAGAGTGAGTGGAATAACTGTTTTATTATATACACAAGGTCTGAATTCACAGACTTTGCTTTACGGATATTTTCAATATTTTTCTATTTTGTTTATGTTTTTATCTTCGCTCTTTCGGCCGATTATTTTTTCCAAAATATATATTTTTAACCATTTTAAATTTTAAAAATTCATTTCCTAACCTGTAAACAATTTGTGGGAGTTTTTTCATTGTGTTTTTAATCCTGAAAGGGCTATAAAAAGCGAACAACTTGCCGTTTTCTCGTTCGCAAAACATCAGAAATTCAATTTTAGCCGCCATTTTGTTTTTCTCTACTAGCAGGATATGAGATAATATCCTGCTAGTAGAGAACCAATCAGATTGCAGAATACCTCATCCAGACCTTGTGTATATAATAAGAGCTGATAGCCTTATAACGACGAGAGTAAGTAGAAAACTGTTTTATTACACTGCATTCACAGACAATTCACTATGGCAATATACTGATTTGCCAACAATCACTTTGGCAATCCGCATCACTTTGCCTATAAATCTTGGATGTTTCTTCATGATTTTTTCAAATCGGTACTTCGAACATTGCTAAAACTTGATATTTTAAGTATTTTTTATCTAACTTTAAGAATTTTTAGACAAGTGCTTTACTTCTACAGGGTGTATAAAAAAAACTGAACAGATTTGAAATTGCTCTCAATTTCGCAAAACACCTATTTGTAGCCGGTTTTTTATATATATAGCTTCTTTGGGTACTTATAATGTGGAATAATGAAAACAATTTCTCGGACTCAAATTTTGTGAACCAGGGGGGGGGGTGTCTTTTCCAACAAACTAAAAATGGCTCGCGCACAAAATTTAAAAGTTGTAATCATATTTTGAGTTAATAGATGGAAAATTTGTTGGCTTTTTAATTACTGTACAAAATTTCAGACAATTTGGTTTACTTTAAGTCCCTTTAACTATTCATTTTATTCTAAAAAATCAGCCTTTTGCATGCTTAATTAATGCCTTTACCTAATTTGCATACTGCTGACATATGCAAATTAGGCAAAGGCATTAATTAAGCATGCAAATAGCTGATTTTTAGGAAAAGTTTAAGTTTGCGTGAATAGTTAAAGGGCTTAAACTAAACCAAATTGTCTGAAATTTTGCACAGTAATTAAAATCCCGACAAATTTGCCATCTATATTAACTCAAAATATGATTACAGCTTTTAATTTTTGTGCGCGAGCCATTTTTAGTTTGTTAGAAAAGACACACACCCTGGTTCACAAAATTTGAGTTCAAGAAATCTTTTTCATTATTCTTCATTATATGTACCCAAAGAAGCTATATATATATATATATATATATATATATATATATATATATATATATATATATATATATATATATATATATATATATATATATATATATATATATATATATATATATATATATAATAATTAATTCTTGTTGTCCGTAATTGAACGAAGAGTGCTCAATACCAATATACGATAGAGCTTAAATAATTCTTTAATCTTAAAATATATTTGTCGATCGCTACACTGTTTCGCCTGAAGATCGCTTTGAAAGAAGCGTGAAACACAGTGTAGCGACAAATATATTTTAAGATTAAAGAATTATATATATATATATATATATATATATATATATATATATATATATATATATATATATATATATATATATATATATATATATATATATCATGACAGTTACACATTTAAGCAACCAGCCAGAAAGTAAAGAAATGTGTAACTGTCATGATAAGGACAAATGTCCGCTTGACAATAAATGTTTATCAACAAG